GTCCTGCGGCAGGATGGCGTGGATGGCCAGGGCCCCGCCCCCCACTTGCTGCTGCAGGTCCGCCGGGCTCAGCTCGCTCCCAAGGAAGCTCGCCCCCACTTGGGGGGCAGTGTTCGTGGCCCCGCTGTGGGCTGGCGGCGGGGGCTGCGGTTGCTGCTGCTGCTGGGGCTGCAGCAGGTGCTGCTGGGGAGGGGCCGGCAGGTGGCTGTTCTGGACGGGCTGGTAGGTCATCAGGGGAGGTAGAGCGGTGCCGGGGAGGCCACCATGCAGGGGCGCCAGCAGCCCGTGTTGCAGGGCCTGGCTGGCGGAGTGCGTGCCCTGCGGGAGGCCGCTCCTCAGCGGGTTGTACTGGCCGGGCACCAGGCTGTTCTGCAGGCGGCTCAGCCACTCGCACTGGCTCCCACTGACGGCGAAGTTGAGCGGGGCCCCGCCCAGGATGGTGCTGGGGCTGGAGACGGGGAGGTGGGACAGGCGGGGCGGCCCCGGCTCGAACGGCTGCATCTGGCCGGCCCCCAGGCCCAGATCCGGCTTGCCCACCAGGTTGAGGTGGCTGATGCTGAGGTGGGGGTCGGGCATGCCGGGCAGGTGGTTGAGTGGCATGGAAGGAGAGGGCTGGAAGGGGGAGGTCATCAAGGGCGGGGAGGCCACGTCCGACAGGTACCCATGGGGAGATTCCAGGGAGTCGACCGGTGAGAGGACACCGGAGCCGTCCAGCAGGCACCCTTTGCCCTCCTGGGACTTCTTCCGGGGGGCTTTGAGCCCCTTGGACTCCTTCCCGTTGCAGCTCAGCCCCTTTGTGCGCGGCTTCCGGGCCTTCTTGCTCTGGAGGCCCGGCTTCAGGTTGCCCATGTAGCCGCTGGGCGAGCACAGCGGCGGGGAGAGCGTGGGTGCCCCCAGGGGCCCGCTGTGCAAGGGTGGGCTCCGCACCAGGTTGTACTCATCCAGGAGACGCACGATGTCGTGGTGCATGCGCTCCTGGGCGATGTCGCGGGGCAGGCGGTCCATGTGATCCGTGATGTCCCGGTTGGCAAAGCTGTCCAGAAGGACTTTGGCCGTTTCGTAGCTCCCTTCTTTAGCTGCCAAGAACAAGGGGGTCTCTTCCTAAAACACAGGAAAGCAGGGCTTCAGACCCCTGGAATGAATGGGATTGCCCAGCTGCCTTGCTTTGAGACAGGAAAAGTGGG